ATCCCTTCCTCTCCTCCCTCTTCCGGTCCTCCCATCTCTCGTACAGACCACCCTTCTCTCCCTTCGTCCGCCCGTCCTCTCGTCCATCGTCCGGCGCTCTCCTCTCTCGGCTCCAACAACCCAACCTCCTTCCGCGCTCCAGCTCTGGCTCCCCCACGGGCCACCCTGACTCCCTCGTTCCTCTCCACTGTAGCGTCACCTCCCTGCCACCTTCCCCCCCCCCCCCCCCCCCCCCCCCCCCCCCCCCCCTTTTCCTCCCCCCCCCTCTTCAGGACCTCGACAACAACTCCTATCCCCTGAAGTTGAGGCCCAACCGTATGACTGCGGTGCGGAACTTCTTGCCTGGGTCCAAGCAGTCACATAGTCGAGAAGCCCGGTCTATACAGAATTCAGTTCAAGGCACCAAGCGCGCTTCGCGAAATGGCAAATGACTGGGGCGATAAGCGCGACGATACCGCGCTGTCGGTGTGACGTTGTGCCGTAGCCCTGGTTTTGATGAGCGTGGGCTTTCCTAGATTACACACCTTGTTAGTGCTGTGTTATCAAGACAGTGAGCTGGAGGCACTGGTTTATCACTCGGGGTGGTTTGGGAAACAGGAGCTAGCACTAGACGTCGGTGTGTTTGGGTTCACAATGTGCCTGGTGGTTAGTGTCCAAGTTCCCAACTCCCATCACCCCATTCGCTCTTTCACACAAGTTTGTACGCGCACAACTCCGCGCACTCTGACTTTGCTATTCGAACCGAACTCCCTTCAACAAACAAGGTAACCCTACAACCCAAGTGATAAACCTTTGGGTCCACCCCCCCCCAAAGTGCACCGTCGCTTTAAGGCTGGTAAGTAACGGTTGAATGCAGTGAAGCGAACAAACTGCCCTATATTGCTCGGCACCAGGCTGAATTCGGCTTTTCGAGACTGTCAGTCATGCCTGGCATTACAGCGTCGCTTTGAATCCACTTCTCATCTCTCGCTGCGCTGCCGCGAAAATCTTGGCGAGCGTTTAGGCCGCTCATGACGCCCGGTGTCGCGGCCAGGCTGCTCGTGGCGGCACCCGCGACCTCATCGCGCCCTGCCGTTGTCGCCATGGCGGCCGAGCCGCGAGGGGCCCATTCATCCGCGAATATAGAGTTCTCGTTAGTGACAAAACCTTGATTGAACTCTTGCCGTTGTGGGCACAGCGAACGCTCTATCCAGCCAGCAGTGGTTGTGGTGACGACGAGTGCGAGCTGCTCCACGTGGATCCTACGTGGCGAGACGCCCTTGCGAGCCTACACGTGGCGCACGGAGAGCAGAGCAGGGGCGTTAGTGCGTGGAGGGGCAAGCAACGGCTAATGGTGTGCACGGGAACAGAGAGGTCGGGTGCGCCTGCCATTGCCCACTCATAGCGTTGCTCTCAATAAGCACTGCTCTCTCCGAGGCTTTAAGCCCTATATCGATCGACCTCGTGCGTCCTTCAACCTCCTTCCATCCATATCCGCGGCCACATCATGCCACAATGGTCTTGACTACTATTTGGGATCTAGAGGCTCTGTTTTCACCTTTAATTTACACTAGGTAGTCCCCACGGGGTCACCTCCAAGGGTCCTCGGGTGCCTGGCAAAGCCAGCCCCTAACCAAGGGTCCGTGTTTGTAGAGGGATTTCCCTAAGTGTAAATCGATGGCGTGCACCGGAGCATTCCCAAGCTTAATTGCGGAAGCGATAAAGACTGATTGGCTCGTATGCATAAATTCCTCTTCACGTCAATACGCTGATAGAGGAAAATATTCACTCGTTAGAGTTGATCACAATCAAACGCAAGCACACAATTTATATTTCGCCTAACACACATGCAAAGAAAAGTGGCAAACAGTTGTTAAACTGCATTTCCAAGACTTCGCCAAGTAAGCAATGAAAACGGTTGATCAACATCTGCTGCGTTTGGCTTGATCCGTCTCTGTAGAACAACCATCTTCAAATTACATGTCCCCCAAACGCCTCTGCTGACTCCACTCGCGAACGCAGACGTAAAATCATGAACGCTCGTGTGAATTACCGTTTCCCCGTTATAAAACGGGCTTTACCGTTTTGCACCTGAAACGAAACCATCATGTTACGTGCGCGACATTTCTGGCGAAGATTCTTGTTTGCCATGTCAGAAAAGACAAGACTTGAATTGCAGTTATGGCGTGTCCAAAATGACATGTCAATGGACGTCGATGGATGTCGACGGATGTCGAGGTAGGTAGGTGAGAATTTCCAGGCCGGCGTTGTGTCCGAAATGATCTGACATCCATCCGACATCTATTCGTCATCCAGCCCTGCGTAATCATTACAGTCAAGGGTGCCGCCAACAGTGACATCGGGCTGGTCAACGAGGCAGACAACGATCCCAAATTTTGATGACAAAATTTGAGGGGGAAACATGGCGAAAGTACCTGCTGGCAAACGACAGCCCTTTGTGACTTGCACGGGGTGACGAAACATGTTACATCCTGTTCTCGATTATTTCACACCCCTTAATCTCACACCCTGGGGTATTTACCCTAGGTCAATCGTTTTCGTATGGTAGTTACCAGCGTTTAGGAAAACCGCGGAGGAGGGTCCGACGTACTTTCGGGTTTGGTCGGAGTGCACCAAGAATAAAAAAGAGAACCCAAACCTAACTAAACCATTCACCCCGAACATTAAGTGCGAGTTTCTTTCTAGAGGCTACCTGCCCGTTGTATATTTATACTCCCTCAATCTCTGGGTGTCCGTCGCATCAAGTCAAAGCCCGTAAAGGGTACCTACGAAAAAAAGGGTAGGGGGTGTGCAATTATCGAGAACTAGGTGTACTGGAGTTCGTTAGTTTCAAATTTGAACCTTATATTCTCTCTGGTCTGCCCCTGCCGGCGCCAACAGTGCCAGCCGGCATTTTTTCGGGCAGTTATGTCTTCGGCAGCGTGTCCGAAAAGACTCAACATCCAACTGTCATCCTCCGTCATCCGCCGTCATCCCCCGTCATCCGCCGTCATCCCCCATCATCCGCCACTGGCATCCATCCGATGACGGGTGGATGACGGATGGATGTCGAGGGGCACTTCGGACACCCCCTTAAAGCGTGTTCAAAGTGTTGCAAGGTTTCGACGTTGATCGACGTCGAGGTTGTTGGGCGTGGTAGGTGAGCTGAGGGATGCCATTTCTGTGTTCAAAGTACGCTTCCGAAATTGCTTACGCCAACATCGCCACTTGTACGGAATTCTGCGCATCTGTACAGTGTTGACGAGACCACATCAGACAGAAAACAGTTTGACGTGAATTGAATTCTCGATATTGACGAAGCTGTTAAATTTGCAGAGCGATTTTCGCAGCCATTAGGCGCTCTGTCTACGCACACAAAAAGGCCTTGCGATTTCAAAAATTCGTCTGAATTCAATTGTTTTACTATTTAGGTCGGCATTTGTCCTGCTCGAAAGTGCGTCGCCGGCATTGCGTTCAAAGTGCCATGCGTTCGACGTCGATTAACGTCGAGCTCGACGTCGATCGTCGTTGAGCCCCCGACGTCGGAGGATGTGGAAAATTACTTCGAACACGCTTTCAGTCAACTGAAATTTCGAGTCAATCCCGAGCACCCCTCGGGATCCCACGGCACCCCCCGAAACACACGCGCACCCCTCACGTGCGCAATCATGCACGACCAGACAAACTGGTCGTGCTGGTGTGCAATTTCAGTGGTTCGTATTGGTCGACGTGCTTGTAACGTGGGTGCAACGTCACGGCACAAAACCCACGGGTGCAAGGTTTCCATCCGGTGCAAGGCAATTTCGCGTGCAGGAGGTGAGCATCAAAGGGTCGGGGTCGGGGGGCTCAAACAGGCATCGTGTGTAGTGCGATCCAGACGAGTGGGCCTGAGGACCCACACGCGCATGTCAGGACCACATGCGCGGGCCCTGAGAGTCCCGCGCTTTTTGACCAATGCGAAACTGGTCAAAGGGCTCAGTCAAAGACTCGTGCCCCCACATCCCTGGCCGAAAGCCTCATCGCAATTCGGTCGTCGGAGCGGTTTTGCCAGTGTCGACAGGAGGGGTCGTCGGAGCCGGGTCTGACGAGGCGGGCGACTGACGCGCGTGCGGGCCCGCCAGCCTGGCCCAGGGCTGGGCCGAGCGCACGACCGCCGCCCCGCAGCCCCGCTCCGAACGTGAACAGCGACCCACGTTACCGGGTGGGGTCGGCGAGCTGGCGACCCCTCGCGCGAGGGAAAGTTACCCTCGCGCGAAGGCAGCCCACACGTGCCACCTGCCCGCGAGGTCCTAGTAACCCATCGCGCCCTGCCCGGATGGGCAGGCGAGGGGCGTGCGAAAATTCGGGGCCCCCTCGGGACACTCGACAATTTCGCGACCCGTTGCGGTGCCGCCACGTGTTTGCCCGTCGCTTCGCATCGGGCGCATGCGAAATTTCACACGCTGCGAAATCAAAAACCTCTCGCATCGGGATCCGCTACGAAATCGACACGTGTCGGCCGTAGCGTCGCTCCGCGCGCATGCGAAGTGTGCGTCCCCTCGCCGACCTGGGCCAATGGAAGCGAAGTCGACGCCCTGCCAAGGCGGAGACGGGCCACCCGTGCCACTTGCGCGTGCGCCCTCCGAGCCCTGCCGAGACAGGCCCCACACCCTTGGGCGATGCTGAACGGGCCTAGGGTGGGGCACCACCTCCATTTTTTGCTGGAAGGTGGCTTCGCTCCTCATTTTCCGCATCCCGTTTCGATTTTCAGACCTTGACAGCTCTGCGCCTCCCCTCTCTCGTACCTTAGCCGTCCGCGTCTTTTGTTAGTCGATAGATATAGAGCCGAGCCCCGACGCCGATAAGTCGGCGCCGACTTCTGCTGACTTTCCCCTTCGTGTGCGAATGGGTCGCGGTCTCAGCTTCACCTTCGAGTGGAACGACTTCGTCGTCCTTCGCGACCATAGGATAGAGTTCAACGAGAGATGCTTGGGACTCGGCATCAGGTGGGAAACACGCGGGCGATGTCGGCGGGGAATGAGATGTCGGAAGAGAAAGGGAAGAAGCCGGCACGGAATCGGGACAAGACGGGCGGCAAACATAAGCCGGCGAAGAGGAAGGCGAAGGCGGAAGAGGAGGAGGAGGAGGAGGAGGAGGAGGAGGAGGAGGAGGAGGAGGAGGAGGAGGAGGAGGAGGGGGAGGAGGAGGAAGAGCATGGACGCCGGGGTCATGGCATCCGCCGAGACAGGTCTGGCGATGGGCTTGGGTGGGTGGGCGAGATCAAGATTAAGGGCCAGAATCGGTACATCGGCAAGTCGCGCGAGAAGATGGAGCTGGCCTACGAGCACGCGATTGCGTACTTGCTCTACGACGGCTACGTGAGCAAGGTGCTGACAAAGGAGCTCACCGTCTTGAAGCCGGGGCAGTTGGATGAATGGAAGGCGGTAAGGGAGGAGCTCAGGTTCCTGTCGACCGGGATGTGGACGGTGATGTGGGCCAGAGGCTTGTGCCATCCGAGAGCAAGGTAAGTCGGATACCGACGTGCCGAGTTCTGTCGACCAAGTCGGTGTCAAGATCGCTGATGTCGACCAAGCCGTGCTGTTTTAATGTTTTTGCGCGGCAGGTTCGACGATATACTCGGCAGGTACCGTGGGTACGCGAGCTCGGGTGATGCGCTTCATGACGTGCTCTGGCCGGCGATATGGTTCCCCATCATCGAAGACACGGAGGCAGGCAAGGCGGAGACAACCGCTCTCTTGTCGGCGATGGTAAATCGCGTGTCGATGTGCGCGGTGTATGGGAAGGTTGCGGCGAGCGTGGCGTTTGGGAAGGTCGACGCGAGCGCGGAGGGGAAGGCGGGTGAGAACGCGGAGATGGAAGGCGTGGAGGGTAAGGCGGACGAGAAGACGGAGATGGGGGCCCAGGCGTTAGCGGCCTCTGCATGCGCCCTCTGGTGCTACATGTCGACGGGTGCGTCGGTGCTCGGTGCTGTGGGCGAAGGGAAGGCGGCCGCGATGGTGGCAGGTGCAGGGGAGGAGAGGTCCGAGCGCTTCAAGAAGGTCATGCACTTGGTTTTCGACTTTGCAAAAAGTCGGAAGGCTCCCGCGGGGGAGGTTGCACATAACGTCGCGCCAGAGCTGCAGCGCTATGGAGTGGCCAGGGCCTTCGAGGCGGGAATTGAGGAAGTCGAGGCCGACATGATCGCAAGAGCGACGGTCGAGACCTTGGCGTTCTGGGGAATGTGCCCCGTCGCCGGGCCCAAGCTCAAAGCGGAGGGCATCGATGTGCCGTGTGACGCGAAGATGGAGTACGATTTGGAGCACAGGGGGAGGAAGGGTGAGAAGGTCAAGCAGGGCAAGGGCAGCAAGAGGAAGAAGACGAAGGCGGAGAAGCAGGCGAAGGACAGTACGGATGCGTAGTCGGCGGACGGATGTTTGCTAGGTTGCTAGGGTGTGTACTATGTCGGTATGGCCGGCGCCGATTTCGGCGTAGATTTGATAAATGTTTTCTTCGTAACAAGAATCGTATTTGCTACAGTTCTATTCGCTTCACTTTGGGTTGAACAAATTGGTGTCCATATAGAAACATGCTAGCCGAATATCACCCGATGAGCCAAGTCGGCGCATATGTCGACATGATATGCACATGTTAGTCGGCGAGGACCGGTGACATAATAGAAACATGGTTCTCGGCGGTGAGCTTTGTCGGCAAAAGGTCGACATCGAGTTTTGCGGCACCTATCGTACTGGTCGTCAGCGACAATATTCACCGACAAGTAGGGTTCGCAAGGATCTTGATGTGGGTTGTTTACAAACTACAAGAAACAGTATTCGAAGGGGGGGGGGGGGGGAGGGGGGGCTTGTTTAAGTCTGCCAAAATCAACAGCATCAAACTACGCAGACACATATCCTAGGAGGGACTTCATGCTGACTTCTTGTGCATGGTTGGAGGACGCTGCACGGGTGCGGTCGGCTTGGCCGGTGCTGTCGACTTGGCCGGTGCGGTCGGCTTCGCCAGGTCGGCCTTGGTCTTCGGCATCTGCTCCTCCCAGGTGTCTGGAAACAAACCGATGAGCCAATCTCTCGGCTTCAGGTTGAGCGCCACAAGCGCACAGGCGAGGCGAAGCTTCGAGACCACCTTGGGGCCCAGCCCCTTGACTCCCATGCCAGGCTCTTTGGACAACATCGGTGCCGTTTTCGGGTTGAGCACCGTGAGGGCATCGCAGAAGGTCCCAATGCCCGGTGCCGCGATCCTGTTCAGTGCGTCGACCACGGCCTCGGTGTCGGCGTCGCCGTCGCTCGCGCGTAGCTGGCGCACCGCATCCATGGCCTTCATCATGCGGCGCACCTTCATGTCGAGCCCACCCTGCGTCGCGCCCTTTCCTGTGAGGAGGGTGTGGCGGGCGACGAATCCCTTCTCGGCGACCCTGTCGCAAAGGCGACGGGTGTCATTGGCGGTGGCGGAGTTCCATAGGCGCCAAGCGTCCCTCACAGTCTTTGCCTCCCGCCACGGTTGCACCACGTTGAGCTCGTAACTAGCCTCCTCGTCCGTCTGTGGGGGTGGCGGGGGTTTGTCATCCCCTCTCTTGGCTCCAGCCCCCGTGCTGGCCGAATCCGCCGAGCCACCCTCGCTGGGAGCTTGCACGGGCGCCGACGGCGGGGCCTCAGGCACTCTCCGTGCTTCCGACAAGCTGAGTGCCTCGGTGAGACGGGCTACCTCGGCGGTGAGTCCCGCGATGGTGTCGTCGCGCTTCTCGATCTCCTCTAGGAGATCAATCTTCTCGTTCGCGGCGCGCTCCCTTTCCGACTGCAGCTGGGCCTTGAGGGACATGTTGTAGTACTCGGTGTCCATGCAGACCGAGATTTCTTGCAGCGGTAGGAGAAAGACGTTAGGGCCGCGGTGGTTTGGTTAACACTACATACTGCCCGTCGGCGACAATATCGTCGACTTACCTCTGGCTGAATTTGGGTCGGGTCTCGACGCTTTTTTATCGTATCGGTGTCGACGCTCTCCACCCGTTTCGCCCAGTGCTGGAAGAGGGGGATCCGGCAGAGCTTGGAACCTTGGACATACGAGTGCCATGGTGTGCGGACTAGCTTCACCGCTAGGTCCTCGGCGACGATGCGGCGCAGCATCTGGAGTGTGCGCCAGAAGTGCACTGCGGCTTTGTCGGCGTTGGACCCCTCGGCAGCCTTCCCTTTCGCCTGCAATTTGTCACGTGTATTAGGTGTTCATACACTGTCAGCAAGACGACTCGAAGACAGGGCTACGAGGGCGTCGACTAACTTACCCTCTTCAGCATGTCGTCGACGCCGAGGAATGTGTGCTCGGCGAGGAGTTTCAGGAGCTTGTCGGTGGGTTCCACCCTGCTCCGCCCCAAGAAGTAGTCCTGCTTGTAACCAGAGTACCCGGCCTTCTTCATCACCACCCCCACCGGAATGGCGGTGATGTACGCCCGCGTCATCTTGTCGAGCGCCCAGTGACCCAGCTCCGCGATCTCGGCGCGCGGCGTGCCGTCGATGGCCAGCTCCTGGGCCCCTCCCGCTCGAGCGGCGTGCACGTTCCTCTTGCAGAACACCTTGTTGGTGTCCCACAACTGCCGCGTCCAGCGTTGGTGGCTTGCCGCAGAGAGCTCCCCTTGGTCGGTGTCGTTTTTGGCGAAGAAAAGGTGCTTCTTGTACCAACTCGCGCGTGTGCTGGTGTCGACCGGCGGAATGAGGCGGACGCCGTGAAACTGGCCGATCTGGTCGAGGACGAAGTGCAACCACAGGCCCGTCTCGCCGACGGCGCACAACTCCGCTTCGAGGTGCCGCGTCGTGTAGCTCTGCTGCAAATTAGCATCCTTGGACGTCTTCGAGTTCCGCGCAGCGATGACCATGACGACCGGCTGGTTCTCCGGGTTCGTCGAGGAGGTGCTCGCCAGTCGGTACAAGAAGATGTCGGGGAGCGTGATCTCGCGGATGCTTGCACCGCGCAGGAGGCTGTGGTGGGAGAGAAGCGTGAGCACCTTGATGAGCAGAAACCTCCACAGTGTCTGCGAAGGACCCGTTCCACGCGGGTTCCACGCCTTCGCCGCCCACGTCGGCAGCACCCTCATCATGATTTGCCGAAACTGTTCGGCGGTGTAGGTATCGCAGAGGGTTCCTCGACGCCGATCGGCGCAATTCCTGCCCACAAAGCCAAAGGTAAGGGTCATTCAGGGCGGCGTCGACATCAGAGTGTGGACGACATAGATTGAACCTGCACTTACTTGATGTCCCGCTCGTTCTTGGTGCGGATCATGAACCGCACCTCCGACCTGACCACCGATATCTCCCGCATGATGCTCAGCTCCGTCTCCCGGTAGAGCGTCGCCTCCACTCTCGCCGCCATCTGGCATGCCTTTATGCGCCCGAGGAGCGTGTGTGTTAGAGACTAAGGACGGAGTCTAGAAGCTTAGGAGCCGAAATTATCACAAAATCGTTGGTCTATAACTCTGGACAGAAATGTCGACTTCACAAGAAACACCGTCGACAAAAATTGCACGGTTAGAATGATCTCAAACTCGAGTATGTTGTAGCCCTTAACTACGGCTATCTTTCCCTATTTGAATCGTATCAAAAGGTAGAGTATATCTCGAGTTATCAATTTCGGCGCACTAGGGGGTAAGCTGCCATAGAAACTTAATCACAATTGTTCTCACAAGTTCTCAAGTTACACACAAGAGAGTTAGAGTAGCACTAAACCAGGTAGGAGGGGATGAGGAGGACGAGAGGGAAGGTCCCAAGGGAGTTCCCAACCAAGGAAACCCCATGCCACACAATTCCCCTCTCCATAGGCAACCCCACTTTCACATTTGTCACTTTCCCAACTCATGCCATCCACCTCAACCCACTTGACCACACTTGCCAACCTGGTTTGGCTTCTCCCAACCACTTGGCAGCATCTACAGTAATGGGGACGAATTTCCCAACCCCCAAAAGTCTATACCCCATATAGAGTCACTCCACAAATTCCCAAAGTCGCCGCATCACAATCAAAACTTCGAACGATAATAACTTTCTCGTTCTTGCTCCGATCGCGGCGATTCTTGGTTCGTCGGAAAGCTCTTGAGCAGAGGAGTCACTTCAGATATCTGCTCAAGCCAAATAACATTCACACATGCTCAGAAAATCCAAACCACACGAAACACAAATTCTTGCACACGCTCACACCACGCATGCAACGCACGAACATATGATGGGAGGCAGACAGACGTGAATGCGAATGATAGCATCACACAACAGTGTGCACCATTGTAGAGTGCACAGGCTGGGCTCGCGCGGCGTTGTCCCCCTCCTCGGTGGACTCGGCATCAAGCTTACACTCACGCACCATGTCCTTCATGTACGCGCGAAGCCGGGTGATGGTAACCCTTGGGCCGTGCAGCCACACGTACGCCCGGGGGACATCGGCCTCCTGGTCCCAATTCTTCTTCTTGTTGTCCCGGATGTAGTGGCCTATCTCGTCGACGTGCTTAAGCCTGTGCTCCTGGGGAAGTTTGCCGCCTATCTGCCTCAACATCTTCGCCGCCCACCTCTTGTAGTGGTATATCCAGGAGGTGTACTGCCTCAGCGTGCTGTTCTTCTCCAGGGTTTGCAGGTGGCGTAGTGCGTCCATGACGAGCACGTCGATGCACGCGTACACCATGTCTTCCTCGACGAAGTCTGCCGCCTTCCACTGTTCGCGCGGCACCGACATGTTCTCGTGGTCCGCGTCCTCGTCCTCTTCGAGCAGTTCATCTATGAATTCAAGCTCCCGCCTGAGTCGTTCGTCCAAGGTGCGCGGATTACCCATCAGCGCGCTTATTTGTGTGGTTAGGTTCATTGAACGTGGACACTGTTGTGACTGTGCGGCGTGGCTCGGTTGTGGACCGTTGGATGACTTGGTCGACACCGACCAAACTTGACGGTCCGATCTGTGCCGCGTGGATCAAGCACCGACAATTTTGGCGGGAGCGTCGACTTCCCGCGCGAAACACTCACCGCCGGAGCGACGCGTGGCCACGACGTGAGCGTCGTGGCAGTCTTGTCATCGTGGGGGACCTCCTGGCTCGTCCCTATTGGGCCGCGTGGCAGCAGTCGCGGCTCGACGTGGCGAGCTTTCCTATTTTGTCCGCTGAGATTTCCTTCTCATATATCTCCCAGCGGAAACGGAGGTCGTCAGATTGTCGACAATCCCGAGGGCTCCCGTGGCCCCTGGGACGCCAGTTCGGCCCAGTTTGCCGCTCGGAAGTCATCGGGAGGTCGTCAATCCCTTGGGGGGCCCTTGTCCTATCGAAATCGGGAAATTGGGCGGCATTTTTCGTCGGCTGAGGTATATTATGCCACTCGGCTCACACAATGGACACCCATAAAAATGCATGAACCAAACAGAACAAACATGAACGAAACATAAACGG